ATATCCACATCTTAGTGCAACAGTCACTTCTTTCATTTTTAAAATTGCTTTCATAGGGGAGAATTTTTTTCTGAAGGTTTTACATGTTTTCTGTTGAGTTGGTGCTTTGGATTTAATTTTGAGTGCCTGCAGTAGTGTGATCTCTATATGATTTATTTGGCAGTATAACATCAGTGGTATCTGTGAATTTCCTCACTGACTTAAGGTGCACTTATTAGTGAAGGCTGCGGTGAAGTTTGGCTGGGAACTGAGATGCCAGGTGGGCCAGTCTTCAGGCCCTAGTTATGGCAGCAGTGGGTTAAATGAGCCTGTTCTTGGGCCACAGGTGGCTTAAACTGACACCAGGGTTAGTGGGTCTTGGAGGGCCAATTCTTGGGCCTTCAGGTGACTTGCTCAGATGCTAGCAATGGCAGCAGTGGGCAAGGCATGTGAGCAACTTCTCAGCTCCTGGGCAACTGGTGTGAAATGGGTAATGGCAGTAGCAGTGGTGGAACAACCCACTAGGACCCAATGCTGGTGTTGATGATGGCTGTGATAAGTTGGGCAGGCTAGTACCCTGACCTGGTAGCATGTGTGGGTGGGTGTCAGCTGTGGTGGTATTGGTAGGTTGAGTTGGGCTAACCGCAGGAATTATTCAAATGCCAATGGTTGTAGATTGGACTGGGCAATTTCCGGGCTCCTGGATGATGTGCTTGTGTCCTAGCGGGGATGGAATCAAGCCAGCAGACCTGTCCTCAGGTCCTCTTGCAGCGCATTCAGAGATGAGGAAGTCCCCAGGCCACTGGCAGAATGCTCAGGTGTGGGCTGGCTGTGGTGGCTGCACTGTAGTCCTGCAACCAGGGAAGGCAGGGCCACTCTCAGCTGGAGCATCATGAGCAGGTAGCTGTGGGGAGTGCAATCTGCTCACACCTTTGTCCACAGCAGCCCACAACAGCAGGGGTGGGATTTGTCCTAGAAATGTGTAGAAGTGCCCGGTCTCTACTCTCCCTCCTCAACTTAGCGTTGGCTTTGTGGAAGCAACCCCAACCAGGCCCAGGGGAAGAATGCAGACGCAGTTGGTTAAACTCTCAGAATAATGACTATGGGTTTGCCACCGGGGAGGGCAGGACCCCTCTCAGGTGGAGCAGCATGGACAAGTAGCCGCAGGGAGTGCAGTCTTCTCATGCCTTGGTCTCACAGCAGCCCATAGCAGTGGCGATGGAATTTGTCCCAGGGGTGTGTGGGAGTGCCCAGTCTCCCCTCTCTTCTCTTGCCCGGTGGCAGCAGTAGCAGCAGCAACAGCAGCACCACATCAGTTCAGTCTCAAGGCAAGACACAGACCTCAGGCAGTGAGGTTCTCAGAATGGCACCAAACTGAAGCTGCTGTGGGCTTAGATGCCTGTGGGACTGAGTTCCTTCTCTGAAGCAACATTTCTGTGCGATTTCTAGGCAGCTCCCTGTGTTAGTCTCAAAGCCCACATGGATCAAAAGCCTATGGTTGGGAGTATGGATCCTGGAGCTTTCTCCGTTACCCTTTCTTCACATCCAGGAGCTTCTGCCAGCTCCCAGACAATCCTGGCCAAGCAAACTGCCTTGCCTTGCTCTCCTGACTTTTGATGTTTCCCATAACATCTCTATTGAATCGTAGTGTTCTCTTAGATGATTGATGCTGTGTGAATATCTACGTGCTATTTTGGTTCCTCTCCATGGAGGAGGAGGCACATACTAGTTTCATCTATTCAGCCATCTGGACTACTTCCTCCAAATATATTTAGGTAATTATATTTTTTCTTTCTGTTGAACTTATTTTCTAATATTTTGTATCTTCTGTACTTATTTTTATTGTCTATCTCTCCCTTCTAGAATGTAAACTCCTTGAGGAAAGAAACTTTTTAAAAACTGATGCATCCCATTTACCCAGAACAGTGCTTGGTAGATAATAATGTTCAATATTTGCTTACTAAATTGAATCATTATTCTTCTGCTTATAATACTTCAGTAGCTTCCCACTGGACTTAGGAAAAAACATCCAAACTCTTTGCATGGTATACAAGGCCCCACATGATTCATCCCTGCTTACATCTCCACTCTAGTATCTATGACCAGCCAGGCACGGTGGCTCATACCTGTAATCCCAGCACTTTCGGAGGCCAAGGCGAGATCGCACCACTGTACTCCAGCCTGGGCAACAGAATGAGACTCTGTCTCAAAAAAAACAAAAACAAAAAGCTATGGCTCTTTCTGTTCTGCCATAACCATACTCTAGATGCAGTCCTAGGAATGTGTAGGGTCCCACTTTGTCCCTGCTTTAGGACTTTGCCATCCCTCCCGCTGGTGTGATCTTAGACCTTCCCTCTCACGCCCTTCTCAGGGAACTCCTTTCTGATCACACATTATAAAATAGATACTGGGTGACTATTACAGACTTATTTCAGTTCCTTGCACAGTGCTAATTTTTTTTTTAATTTTAACCTATTGCCTGTCACCATCTGCTGGAATATAAACTCCATAAGTGTAGAAACTTTGTTAACCTTATCACTGTTGTAACCTAGAAACATCCTGGCACATCATGGGTACTTAATAAATGAATTCAGGAGACTAATGAAGCCTGGAGATAACAGATTTGAGAGAATAGAGAAAATGGAGGGAAAGTCAACGTGAAGTAATTCAGGCAGGGCACAGTGGCTTACCCCTGTAATCCCAGCACTTTGGGAGGCCAAGGTGGGAGGATCACTTGAGTCCAGGAGTTCAAGGCCCCAGTGAGCCACAAGTGTACCAACACCCCAGTGAGCCACAAGTGTACCAACACCAGATCCTAGGATCCTAGGTGACAGAGCAAGCCCATGTCTCTGAAATAATAATAATAATTCAGCCAGTTGTCGTGGCTCAGGCCTGTAATCCCAGCTAGGCAAGAGGATCACTTGAGCCCAGGAGTTCAAGGTGCAGTGAGCTATGATCCCACCACTGCACTCCAGCCTGTATAAAAGAGCAAGGCTCTAAAAACAATAATAATGATAATTCAATAAAAGTTCCCAGAACTGAAAGGCCTTAAGTTTCTAGAATGAAAGATCTCACTGATTTAACCAGCACAATGGAGGGAAAGGCTCATACAAAGTCACATGAAGAAATCTAAGAGTAAGACAAGGCATGGAGTTTCGTCCGCGTAATCCCAATGCATTGGGAGGCTGAGTATCACTTGAGACTAGCCTGGGCTATATAGGAAAACTCTGTCTCTATGAAAAATAAACCAATTAGCCAGGTGTGGTGGTGTGCTCCTGTAGCCCTAGCTACTCGGGAGGCTCAGGTGGGAGGAATGCTGGAGCCCAGGAGTTCAAGGCCACATAAGCTATGATCGCACCACTGCCCTCAAGCCTGGATGACAGAGTGAACCCCTGTCTCTAAAAGAAGAAAGATGGTGGAGGGGGCGGGGCAAGGAGGGAGGAGAAGGGAGGAAAGGGAAGAGGAAGAGAAGAAATCTTTAAGAGTAAGAACATAGATAAGACCCAAAGTTTCTGGTAAAAAACAAAAACATAAAATAGGCCATACACAAAGGATCATAAATCAGGGTGTCACAAGAATTCTCAACAATGAAGGATGCTAGAAGGCAGTGAAGCAATGCTTTTGAAATTCTGAAGGAAAATTATTTCCAACCATGAATCCTAAACTTAAGGAACTTATTAAGTGTAAAAGTGAGATAAAGATATTTCCAGATATTCAGGATTTTAAAAATTCAACTTCCATGCACCATTTCTCAGAAAGCTCCTAGATAATGTTCCACCAAAATGAAGCAAATTAAGAGAGAAAACAGGATAAAGAAATAGAAGCAATGCAGGAACCCCAGTATGCGGTGAAGGAATATCCAGGGAGCCATGCACAGGTGAGAAATCAGCTATTCCAGATTCAAGGCCAGCAGGCTTAGAGAGGCATCCAGACAAAACTGGTAAGAGCACCTGGTGAATGAGGACCTGGAGATTTTGATAACCAGTGAAGGAGTTTGGAGTCCGGTAAGTAATAAAGATATAGGAAATGTTGCAAAAGGGGAAAGGAAACTCCAGGAAGACAAAAAGTTCTGCAGGAAGGAAAAATGATGCTGGCCCCATGCACAGCCCAGGTGTGAACAGCTTTCACACAGATGTAGTAACAAGCACACCAAATACTTGTTTAACCAGTTAGGACCACATTGAAGGGTTGGGGACAGGTAGAAGAGAATGTGTGTGTGTGATAGGGGACAGAGAGAGCAGAGGGCTACATCTTCCTGCTCCACGGTGGGAAATGAAAAGATAACACCCCAAACGCAAGTTATTTAGAAAAAATAAAGGCCAACACAAAACAGTTTGCTAAACAGTATGAACTGGGTCTTTTGGGGGAGGAATAGGGCAGGGAAATGTTCGTATTTGTAAGAAGTATTATAGAAATCGCTTACCATATGTGCAAGTATAGTTCATAAAAAACTAAAAACTATGAATATAAAAAATAAAAACGGAAAACTTATGTGAGTCCATAGAGAACAGAGAGGAAATACTCTTTGCCTGTAGTGTAATTTTAGAGGTAGTTCTGTATAATCCTCCCTTTTCCATCTTTAAGATGGCAATTTAAAAAAATCAGAAAGGACAAGAAAAACAGTTCAATGTGTTAGGAGGCAAGGTTGAATCTCTGCACATTCTGTTTCCTTTGGGACAGTGCTTATTTTCCAAGGAAGAATTTTGGGTGTGCTGTACTGGATGTCTCCCTTCTCAGGGAGAGTCACCACTTGCTCCAAAACGCTGGACCTCAGCTCAAGGGCCCAACTAAAGGAGGAATAACAAGGTGGAGCCATGTGACAACTGGTGTCCTGCATAGGTTCATTTTGAGGGACTTCCAGAAATGACAGCATGTGTGCAGAGAACAGAAAGCAGTTACACAGTTCTAGACATGGAAGGAAAACCTTGGGCTACTGCTCTCAATGGAATTTCTCTGTAGCCAGACTGAGGTCTGGTGACATTTGAGACATTATAGATCTACAGATATAGATCCCCAGACCATTCATTCAACAAGTCTTTATTGAGCACCTGCTCTGTGCCCAGCACTGCACTAGGTGCCATGAGAATACAAGAGAAGTATAAGATGTTATATGCCCTCCAGCTTACAAAACTAGAGGCAGAAATAAGATGTACATGTGACTCAGGCAGCATGTGACACACACAAAGTGGGCAGCTCTGAGACAATGGTGGTGAAGAGACCACTGAGACCCAGATCCGTTGGATCAGTCTTAGAACAGGGTGGAGGAGTTAAAACTTGGATGAGCAGGGGCTGGGAGAGCACTTGGAATGGGTAAGGACAAGACTGGGAGATCAATTTGGCAGGAGCAGGGAGATTGTGTTAAACTGTGGCCATGAGGGGCGCGTGGACAGATGCTGGGTCCGTGGGCAATGAGGAGACCCGTTACTTCCTCTCTTGAGATAAAGACCAAGTGGCTTTGTGGCCTCCCACTGCCTTCCTTTCCCCATCTTCCCATCTCCACTCTCTCCTAGGAAAGTGGAACCTGCATGCTAAGTAGGGCCAGAGACAGAGGCTTAACACCTGCTGGGGAACCTGGTCAGAACTCCCGAGGCAGGGGAGGCTCTGCTCCACTGGATATTTGTCTTGGTGTTTTTGGCTGTGCTGATCAAGAGCAGGATGTTCTGGGTTCTTTTAAAAACTCCCCTCACAAGGACCAATCCAGAGAGAATTTATTGATCAGTGACCACAGCTGGTACCCCAGAGCCATATGTCTGGATCCTTCCCTAAGACCACAGATAGCTCCAGGGACTCCCACCACATTGGCCACGGAAATATGCTCCACTCTGGTTTCAGAGAAGCCTGGACTCTGGACCCCGTGAGATGATATGCACTGGCACTCCAGGCCTTAAATGGCCAGGAAGCCTCAGTGGACTTTCATTATTTTCAGCATTTCCATGTATGCTTAACTCTGAGTTAGGGTGGGGTAGGTCTGTTTAAAATGCCTACTATCTGTTTAAAATGCCTAACTCTGAGTTAGGGTGGGGTAGGTCTGTTTAAAATGTAGGGAAGGTGGGCAGTAGAGTGGATTTGAGCAAGGAGGAACCTATGGGGTTTAAGGAGAGCAAAATGATTTAGGCGTAATCAACTGTTTTTTCCAAGGTCTCGCCACGCTGGGCAAGAAAATGCTGCATCAGGCCCTTACTCCACAGAATGCTGAGCTGGGGCCAAGGTCATGGTCAAAAAGGAAAGGAGCCCTCATGGACTCCAGAGTTAGAAGTTCCCATGGAAAACCAGCAGGAGGTGGGAGAAGAGCCCAATTAGGGCAGTAGATGGAGCAATAGCACTGAGTGAGATCTCGGCCACAGCAACTGGGGTGGTGGCTGGCAGTGGATATGGGGTCCCCTGCTCCAGGTGCTCAGGCCAGGCATCCCTTCCCCCCATTGAGAGTCCTGGAATTCCAAAGAAGTAAAGCATCTAAGGGTGTGGGGCCGGGGCAGATGTCAGGGTTCAGGGTCTCAGTAGTAGACGCGTTCCTGGCCACTTGAGCCACAGGAAGGGAACCAGGCGCCGGGTGAAGGTGGCGGTGAAGGTGTAGATGAGTTCTTGTGACTCTGCATTGGTGAAAGTCACGGTGCCCCCTTCATAATCCAGGGCAATGCCCACTCTCCGGGGCCGTAGCGCCGGGAAAAGCTCAGCCTCAGGGCTGGTGTTGGCCCAGATGCCGGAGGAGGAGAGGCGCAGCGCCCACACACCATCCTCTGGCCGCAGGGAGAGGTCTCCCTTCCTCTTCATAGAGTCTCTGGCCACCCCCACCATGCAGCTTTCAAGAACTTCTTCCTCTTCATCCTCCTCTTCTTCCTCTTCATCACCCAATGATTCCTCATCCTCATCCGTTTCCCAGTCATCATATCCATCCCCATAGCCGGCCTCTTCTTCCTCCTCCTCCTCTTCTCCCTCTTCCTCCTCTTCCCCCTCTTCTTCATCCTCAGACCAGCCCTCTCTCTCCACTTCCACTTCCCAGTAGACCTTGCCCCAGGTGAAGCCCTTGCTGCCCAGCACCCCGGGCTCACAGTCAAACTGCTGGGGGTGCAGGTAGGCACACTTGTATAGGCTGGTGTAGGTCACGCACTTCCAGTCCTCTGACAGCTGCAGGTACCCACTGGCCGACTGTGGGTCCAGGGTGACGCTCACTGTGGGGACAAGGGGAAAAAAAGTAACAATATCACTGTTTTGCTTTTTAAGTTAGAGGGAATAAAATTTATTTTGGCAGACATTTATTTTTCAACATCCTTAATTTGGTATAAGTGTGGCATATTTTCTGGCTTCGTGTTCTGCTAAATCACCATCACTAAACTGCTTTATAAGCATTATATACTGAAATTTAACTTTACTGTTTTCACTTATGCTCTGATTCCAAACAGAACTTTTCATAAGCTTCCTCTATCTCTGGATCTCTGGATCCAAATCATCAGCAATATCATCCACGTGTGGATCACCAGCCAAATAAATCTGTTCAATTTTCTTCATAATCTAGAAAAGAGTCCCATTTTTCAAGTAACTCTAGATATTCCTCTTGGTAATCTGGATCAGCTACAATAAAAGGAACACTGAGATGTATAAAATGTTGGTTCATTCACATAGTGATTACGATCATTTTCGGGTGTTGCATTTCTATATGACGAAGTTACATGGACTCCACCCAGTTACTGCACTGGAGTTCTACAAGCTTCAAGAGCATGTTTCACGTCTCTGCTGCAGTTTGCACCCAGGACAACATTTTCAATTCCTGAATAATTTATTCCATATCAGTCCTTCCCTTTTTCTTCCAAGCATCTTCCAAAACTGACCCTGTCAACTTCAGTAATTTTACAGCACAAATTAAGTTGTCATCCATGGGATTAGAAAAGAGGGCATTCAATAACTCCCGCAGACCAAGAATATTTGCCCTTTAACCTGTCCATTTGTTATTTTGACCTCCAGGTTAAGAAAAAGCTCTCTCAGAAAGGGCACAAATGCAGGAAACTGTTTTCGAGTAACTTCACCCCCTTTCTGCAGCTTGATCTTTAATGTCATATTCAGTCCGACATTTTTGAAGTCAAAATTTGTGGAAGGTGCTACTCTGTGTGCTGTCAGATGATGGACCAGGTAATTATACAAGCAGCTCCCATGTAAGAGAAATTTGGGACAGGTGTGGCCTCTTGATAAGTGAGTTCCACAGGTTCTTGCAAAGCATCATCTGTTGTAATACAAGCATTCAGGGTCTCTGCAAACTGTTCAATTTCAGTTTCAAAACTGCCAGTCTGCTCTGTAACATGGTTTGAGAAACCTTGAACATATTCTGACAGAGATAATCCTCACCATCATCCTCATAGGATACTCTATAATTAGAATAACCTGATGGGTAAAACTCAATGGTATTCACAGACAGCTGAGATGTTAATAAAGAAGCTACAACCACGTGGGGTTTAATCACTGCTGACTCAGTTCTGCTATGAAATTTTTATTCTGTGAACTAGACGGAACTCTCAGGGCCTCGTTTGCCCCCAGACAGCCCAAGTTCTCAGAAAAGCAAGTGTGAAAGTGGGCCAGGAGGAACCCACCAGTCTTCACAATCGAAGGGGCACCATTCACATCTTGGTCTATGTGGATGGCGCTCCTTGGTAGTATGCAGTGTACAACCTAACTGCAGGGCTGACAGGGAGCACAGTAGTGACGCCTGTGGCAGATACAGCCTATGGCCTTAGGTTGCCCCCGCTGTTTGCTCTGAATACACGAGCCATGCAGCCAGGAAAATGAGAAAGCTCAGCCCAGGGGAAAGGACTGGTGGTAGGATCCTGAGGACCAGAAAAGGAAAAGCAAATGCAGGGCAGAGAAGAATCAGACTAGCAAACAGAGGCCTCTACTGCAGACTAAAGAGTAGACAGACCAGAAAGTGCAAGGAGGGAGGGGGGCTTCTACTTTGCAACTGGGAAAAACAGGGCAGTCAAGAGTCTGCAGGCAGAGTTTTCCATATTTGACATACATCTGGGAAACACCCTCTAGAAACTCACCTGTCTTATATTCCAAGTCTCTCAGCAGCTTCCCTGGGGAGAAAAAAAGGACAGCAATGACTCAAGTCCCACAAATATATGAGCCCATTTCTTGCTCAGGCGGTATCAACTTCCTGTAGGGATCCATCTCCAAGACAACAATCAGGAGGCCCTCAGCAGAGTGAGGCTTGAGAAGGTGATGGAAAGGAGCCGGGGCCCTCTTTCTACAAGGTGGCCCTGCCCTGACTCCCACCCTTTATGCACTCCCCAACCCTTACCCTGGAATTCCCTCAGGCCTCGCTGCAGAGAGAGGAGTTTATCTGAGAATTCTCCGGTCTTTTTTTTAACCACTCGAGCAATGGGTTTCCCAACCCAGAACTTCTTCCGTGGATACCTGAGAAGATGGCAGACATGAAAACCTATTACTCAGCTTTTACTTTCCTGCATACTTATCACTCAATCCTCATGACAGTTATGAAGGGGAGAGAAAAGGTGTGATGATCCCCAGAAAAACCATGGCCCAAAGACATGAGCTGAGCCAGGGCTTCAGACTATCAATAGACTCCACATCCAGGATGCTCTGCCTACTAAGCCATGTTTCTAACCTCTCTGCTCTGTCCCACCTCAAATAAGGCCAGTGGGCCAAGGAGCTGGGGTTACACAGAGAACTCATAAGGAGAAGAGCAAGTCTCCAGTTCTCAAGGATGTGTCCTGCTCTCCAGAAGGGCATCATGACGAACCATGGGATGTGAGTACCTCTGGCACCATATCACTCCCCATGTATTCAAATGGACCTGGTCAGAAGGGGCGGGAACACAAACAAGGGGGATGAGGTATGCCGGGGAGAGGAGACTCTTTTACCTGTTTAGGAAGTCTCTTGTGTCCTAGAAAAAAAAAAAAGCACAAGTATCAGTATGAATCAAATAAGACTCCAATGCATATGCACCCAACACTGTAGTATAGGTGGGACATTTTGGTGAACAAAACAAATATGGTCCCTTTTATATGGAGCTGACATTCCAGTGGGGTCATTGGATAAAATAACAAGAAAACAAACAAAATCAACACAATGACAGAAGCCACCATGGCTGGGGATGACAGGGCAACCTCTTTGGGAGACACCTGTACAGAGAATTGAGCAATGAGAAGTACTGGCCAGATGAAGACAGGTAAGGTAAAACAGGAAAGGGCTTGGCAAAAGCAGCAGAGGCCAGATCATGCAGGGCTGAATATGCATGGTAAGGAGTTAGAATTTCGCTCCAAGTACAGTGGAAAGCCACCAAGGGTTTCAAGTAGGGGCATGATATGTGTGATCCACTCTACACATGGTTGAGACTGCTGTGTATCCTCCAGAGTCCACTCTCCTCTTCCTCCTTTTAATAGCAGAACCCCCTGGAGTTATTGATCAGATGGCCACCCAGGAAGACTACATTTCCCAGATCCCCCGTGACCAGGTCTGGTCATGAGACTAAGTTCCAATCAATGGGACATATTAGAAAGCAATGACCACAATTCTGGGTATTGTCCTTTAAAAAAAGAAAATTGCTTTCTACTTCCTTTTTCCCCCTAGCTGAATTTTGAACCTGGTGCTGGTGAGCCCAACTTTGACCACACAGCAGAGGACAACATCCCTAGAAGCTGGCAGAAGAACCACATGAAAGTAACCCAGTGCCCTGGATGAGCTTATAAACAGCTACTGTGATAGCTCTAGACCCTGCACCTCTGAACTGTTACTGAAACACAAATAAATTTCTAATCTATTTGTGTCATTGTACAGCAGCAAGCCAAAACCCTAAGTAATTACTTCCGTGGCTGCCCCACAGACAATGGACTAAGGAAGCAACAGGAACATGGGAAGACTGGTCCAGAGGCTTTTGCTGTGGACCAGGGGAGAGCTACAGATGGCCTGAATTAGGATGGCAGCAGTAGGGAGAAAAAGAGAGAAGTAGCACGTTCCACGTAGTTTAGAGACGAATTCACCTGGACATACTGGTCAAGGATAATCAAGAACAGGGCATGGTTTGCACAGGAGGGATAAGGGTGGTGCTGTGTGACAGACAGGTGGTAGGACAGGGTGAGTGGGAAGAGGGTTATTCTGAGATGCTCAGATTCCCTTTTGTGAGTCAAAGGCCTCCATAATACTCTGTATTAATTGATTTTGTCTTCCTTTCACTCATTCCACAAATATTAATTAAGTGGGTCCTAGGTACCAGGCACTGATCTAGAAGCCTCGAAACAGTCAAAAAAAAAGCAACAAATCTCTACTTCTGTAGAGCTGACATTCTAGCAGGGGGAAGCAAACAATAATCAACGTAGCAAATACATCACACTACGTGAGTGATAAGCACCACAGGAAAAGAGAGCAGAGTGACGGGGGAGGTAGCAGGGCTGGTGAGGTACAGGCAGCTTCCTTGAGAGGGTGAGATTTGGGAAACAAATGGTATTAACAAATTGTAGCTGCTGATGAATGCTTCAGAAAGTTTGGGAAGAATTGTGAGCTTTACTCCAGAGGAGCAAGATAAGAAGTCGGAAGTACATCCCAACCCCCACTATGAAGCAAATGCCCAGACATTGGTTGCAAATTTCTGGCAAAGTCCTCTAACATGCCCCTCAAAATATTTAAGTTCAAGGCAGCTTCACAGAACGGGGCAACAAAACAGACAGTGTGTCCTGACAGCTCTGCTGACAAAGATGGCATAAAAGAGCAAATGGCATCCTGGTCAACATGGTGAAACCCCGTCTCTACTAAAAACACAAAAAATTATCTGGGCATGGTGGTGCATGCCTGTAATCCCAGCTACTCAGGAGGCTGAGGCAGAATTGCCTGAACCCAGGAGGCGGAGGTTGCAGTGAGCCGAGATCATGCCATTGCACTCCAGCCTGGGTAACAAGAGCGAAACTCCATCTCAAAAAAAAAAAAAAAAAAGAGCAAATGAATGGAGCAGTAGCTGGAGTGGGGGCCAGAGGCCCAACTGGGCATATTTTCTGACATGGAAGTTTCCAGAACAGTAGAAAGGGAGAAAATCATAGAGGAGAAAGAAGAGTCTCTTAAAGTTGCGAGCAGCCCAGAGAGGGTGGGGTCCTGAGAGCCAGGGCAGGGCTGGCCCTGCCAAGAGAAGAGGCCAAAAGACTGAGGAGCCCCCATCCACAGCCACATACAGGGCCTCTGGAGGGAAGTGATCAGCCCAAGGCTCCTGGAGGACTCTTCTCACCCAAGACATCTGAAGCTGTCATGAAACAAGCAAAGAGAGCCGAGCAGTGGGGCCACAGCAATGAGTCACGGCAAGCTCTGGCAGGGGATGCACCTGGTTACTAACAGCATCAGGAAGGTTCTTCATGGAGGCGTACAGCAAGAGAAGTGGGATGCAAGCATGCCACCTAATCATGCAGGGTCAGCCCCGCCTATGAGCAGGATGCAATGTCTCTCCGGGCCTCTCCTACCACCCCAGTCCCTTTAATGCCTTCTTGATGCTCCCAGCCCCACAGGTCTGTCATTCCTTTTTTATCATCTCTATCAAAAGGTCTCTTCTATTTTACACATTTTGTCCTGTTGCTTCTCCCTCTCACCTGTATTTCTTTTTATTATTTTTTTATTTTTTGAGACAATAACACTATATTGCCCAGGCTGGTCTCAAACTCCTGTTTTCAAGCAATCTGTCTGCCTCAGCCTCCCAAAGTGCTACTAGAATGATAGGTGTGCGCCACCACACTGGCCTCACCTGTATTTTTCTATCAGACATCTGAACCCTATTTTGGGTCTTTTTCTTACTATACTTTGACAGCCAAATAATCTCTGGGAAAATATTAATGATAATTAGGGAGTTAGCTATCTAGTTACCATGTGGTACAATCAAACTCAAATAAGCACAGAGACAAAATCTATCAATATCTTTTTTTCTGCCTATGGTTGGTTACCTAGTTTTCCTAGCACCATTTATTAAAGAGACTGTCCCTTCCCTGTTGTATGTTCTTGGTGCCTTTGTTGAAAACCAGTTGGCTATAAATATGTGGATTTATTTCTGAGTTCTCTATTCTGTTCCATTGGTCTACGTGTCTGCTTTTATATCAGTACTATGCTGTTTTGGTTACTACAGCTTTGTAGTGTATTTTGAAGTAAGATAGTGTAAGGCCTCGAGCTTTGTTCTTCTTGCTCAGGGTTGCTTTGGCTATTTGGGGTCTTTTGTGACTCCATATAAATTTCAGGTTTTTTCTATTTTTGTGAGGAATGTCATTGGTATTTTGATAATAGGGATTGTATTCAATCTGTAAATTGCTTTGGATAGGATATTTTAACAATATTAATTCTAATCCATGAGCATGGAATATTTTTCCATTTGTTTGTGTCCTCTTCAATTTCTTTCATGAGTGTTTTGTAGTTTTAATTATAGAGGTCTTTTACGTCCTTGGTTAACTTCATTCTCAGGTATTTTATTTTACTTTTTTAGCTATTGTAAATGGGGTTGCTTTCTTGATGTCTTTTTTAGCTGGTTTGTTATTGGGGCATTAAAAATGTAATACATAGGCCAGGCGCGGTGGCTCACGCCTGTAATCCCAGCACTTTGGGAGGCCAAGGCGGGTGGATCACGAGGTCAAGAGATCAAGACCATCCTGGTCAACATGGTGAAACTCCGTCTCTACTACAAATACAAAAAAAAAAAAAATTAGCTGGGCATGGTGGCGCGTGCCTGTAATCCCAGCTACTCAGGAGGCTGAGGCAGGAGAATTGCCTGAACCTAGGAGGTGGAGGTTGCGGTGAGCCGCGATCACGCCATCGCACTCCAGCCTGGGTAACAAGAGCGAAACTCCATCTCAAAAAAACAAAAAAACAAAAAACAAGCAATACATTTTTTATGTTGATTTTGTATCCTGCAACTTTACTGAATTTGTTTATTAGTTCTAAGAGTTTGTTTCTAAGGGCCTTTAGGTTTTGCTACATATAAGTACAGCCATTATGGAAAACAGTATGAGAGTTTCTCAAAAAACTAAAAATAGAAGTACCATATGATCCAGCAACCTCATTACTAGGTATTTATCTGAAGAAAAGAAAATCAGTATATCAAAGGGATACCTGCACACGCATGTTTTTTGCAGCACTATTCACAATAGCTGAGATATGGACTCAATCTAAGCATCAATCAACAGATAAAGAAAATGTGGTATATAACACAACAGAATACTATTCATCCATAATAAGTTTGAGTTCATGGAAGTAGAGAGTAGAATAGTAAGGCTGGGAAGAAGTTGGTTAATGGATACAAAGTTACAGCTACAATGGGAAGAATAAATTCTAGTGTTATGCAGCATAGCAGGGAGAATATCATTAACTACCATTTATTGTACATTCTCTAAAAACTAGAAGAGAGGATTTTGAATGTTCCAACACAAAGAAATAATACGTGTTTGAAGTGACAGATACGCTAATTGCTCTGAGTTAATTATTATATATTATATACAGGTATCAAAATATCACTCTAGGCAGGGTACAGTGGCTCACACCTGTAATCCCAGCACTTCAGGAAGCTGAGGCAGGCGATCACCTGAGGTCAGAAGTTCGAGACCAACCTGGCCAACATGGTGAAACCCTGTCGTTACTAAAAATACAAAAACTAGCGGGGTGTGGTGGCGCGCACCTGTAATCCCAGCTACTTGGGAGGCTGAGGGAGGAGAATCACTTGAACCCAGGAGGCAGAGGTTGAAGAGGCAAGAGAATTGCTTGAACCAAGGAGGCAGAGGTTGCAGTGAACCGAGACTGCACCACTGTACTCTAGCCTGGGAGACAGAGTGAGACTCTGTCTCAAAACAAACAAACAAACAAAAACTATATCCCATAAATATATATATATTACACAGCACTAAAAATAACAGAGAAAACATAAAACAAAAAAGAAACCCACCAGTACCAATAACATTTCCTGTACTAGTTTCAAGCAGACACCATTTTCTCTCCCTTCCATTGACCTTACTCCACCCCAGGGAGAGTTGCAGTCTGAGTGCTCTGAGTCACTGAGAGCCAGGGCTCTGCTCTGAGGGCCATTTCTCTTAGTGCATTAGGAAAAGGCACCCCTCTGGGCAGACACAATGGATTTCAGCCCCACCACATCCTCAGCTGTGTGCCTCTGTTCCACGTAGGCATCCATACATGGCAGGGGCATGGGAAGAGGAAGGAGAAGAGGAACAGGGGCAAAAGGAGATGCAGAAAGTGACCCAGTCAGAGTCTGACAAGAGAAATGTGAGGGAACAGAACCATATCTGGAGGAAAAGACGGGGCCAGAGAGACATTTCAGACAAAATGAGAACAAGAGCACAGAGCCCAGAAGTCAGGACACCTGGGCTCGAGCTATAACCTGACACCTGCCTCATGGCCTAGGACAAACTCCTTCTACTCCCTGGACCTCAGTGACTTCAGCATTAGGGATTAGACTGGATGGTCTAAAATCCTGCCAGTCCTCATTCTGCATCTGAATTCACAACAGTGGGAAGCCTGTGGCCACCTTCTGTAGTCTGTCCTGGTGCACACACTTGGGAGTCTGCCTTGCTATCTCTCCCTCCTGGCTATTGGTTTGCCCTGCCATTGGCCTGGGACCCCACCTTCCTAGAGATCCTGGGTGACTCTGCTGCTGACCTAAACAGTGCAACTGGGGGAATACCATCAGAGAGCCCCTCTTCTCCCAGCCTGTGAGGGAAGGAAGGTCAAGCCCTCTACACCTCCAAAGGCTGCTGGCCCTGTTCAGGGCAGTGTAATCCCGAGGCTCCTGGGGGAGGAGATGTGGTGCTGTTTCAGCTTCACAACCAGTCAGCCCCAAAGCCTCCCTTTCTATCAAAGCCCCCTCCTCTAGGAGGCGCCCCAAGGCCCCTTGCCTGCTTTCCATCTTGTTCTCTGTGTCGTAATCCCATAGGCCCAGAGAAAACCTGGTCATCTCTGTCTCCCTTCCTCAGTTACCCTATCTCTTCTAGACCCTCTGGGTCTTTGAGAGGAGCCACTGGTCAGCCCTCCCTCAGCCACCCCCAACCATGACACCATAAAAAGCTTCCACCAGCTAAGTGTCTGCCAGTAACTTGTTAGAGGGGCTCATGATGACAGTGATGAGAATGGAGGATGGTAAATTATATTAATTAATGATTTTAATAAGCTTCCCTTCCATTTTTTACTCTATTTTATCATTTAGGTTTTTTTAACAGTTTTGTGTAGAAAATTTATTTTATGAAGTGACACCATGCCAGTTATTTCATTTTATGCCCATGCAATCTACAGAATAATTGGCAGGGGTAAGGATCACCATCCCCATGTTTCAGATGACAAAACTGAGGCCCAAGTCTCCTAAGGTCCTGCAAGTGAATGGCAGGGCTGGGACCCACCATCCTGGTCCCTGGCTCCCTGCCTAGGGACGCCTCTCACCTGCATGAGCTCTGCAGCTGGCTGCTGTGCCTTGCCCTCCAGTTCGGAGATAACCAGGGCCAGCCGGGCGAGCTCCCCGACGCCCCGGCTCTTGAACTTCTCTCTGCCCTCCGTGAGCTCCTGCTCCAGCTTCGCCAGCTGTTCCAGCAGGTGCTGCTCCCGCTCCCTCAGGAACTGATGACCCTGCTCAAACTCGGCTACAATATACTGCCTCTGGTCCTGGAGCTTCTTCTGCAGGGGGCAGGAAGGGGAGAAGGGCTGACACCTCTGCTCAGGGTGGGTACACACCTCCAGGGCCCAGCACTGGAGGTGCACAAGGCTGGCTCATTCACCTAGGTACCTCGGTACCACCGTTCAAGAATTCCACAGGATCTGCGGGAGAAGCTATAGAGGGCTCCCGGTTCACACTCCTCAAAGACCCCAGTAATTAATTAGTTCAGTTCACTCTGCCACTACATGACGAAAACCCTGTCTCTACCTGACTAGTCAACCACAATCTGTTTTAGCTAAACCAGTATGCTCTGGGGCCCCTGGAGAAACTCTGTGGGTCTCATTCACGAGCCAATGTACTTTTCTCTCCTGGACAAAATTTCTGTCACCTCTTCCAGGAACGTTTGCTTGATGAATGTCATCTAAGCCTGTCCAGGCCTCCCTTCAGCACTCCACTGTTAGGCCTAAAATATCTATGTGTACCCCACACCTGCTGTATCCTGTTTCCTCAGCAAAACTATGTGACGTCTGTGCTTAGGGACCATGTCCTTTCCTGCCTCCAAATTTCTTCCCCAGTTGGGGTCAAGGGAGTCCTCAGTGGCCCTGGTGACTGGTGCTGGGCTGGGGACAGCCATGCACACTGAAGGCCTGGAGGGGTCGTTGGACTTAGCCGTCTCTGGCTTACTCTCACCCTCTCCCTGGGCCTCATGACTCCCCGCTGGGCCTGACCCCACTACTCCTCCACTGCCCACTTCCCCAACATACACGTTTTTCCCAGATTTTCCCCAGAAAATCAGAACCATTTTATCAGGTTTTTCCCTCAACCCCATCTCTAATCAAGCACATAATGTGCTGCCTAACTACAGTGGTCCCTTGTTATCAGTGGGTGATGGGTTCCACAATCCCCCTCTCCAGGAACACCCAAATCCAAGGATGCTCAAGTTTCTTATATAAAATGGAACAATATTTACATATAATCCACTATATACTTTAAATTATCTCTAGATTACTTATAATGCCCAATATAATGTAAATGCTATATAAAGAGCTGTAACATTGTATTGTTTAGAGAATAATGACAAGATTTAAAAAATCTGTATATGTTCAGTAGAGATGCTTTTTCTTTTTTCTGAATATTTCTGATTCATGGTTGGGTAAATCCACAGGTGCGGAGCCCACAGATATGAAGGAGGTCCCACTGTGCTGGCAACCATGATCCTGGGTCTGGGTCTCACTAGGTACAGTGCCATCAGAGCTGGCAGGCCTGCCTTAGCCATTCCCTGGTTGCTCCCTCTCAGTTCTTACCTGGAGCCAACTTCCTCCTTCTAAACCCTTTGTTCCCCCTCCACTCTCAGGCAACCTTCTCTCTCTCTCTTTCTCTCTCTCTCTCTCTCTCTCTCTCTCTCTCTCTCTGAAAGGAAGAATGAAGCCATGCCTTCTTCAGTCCCCTGGCTGCAGTTAGAACATGGGCCCTGCCACCAAGGTGAGAGTCACAGAAAAGGGAAGGGACGCTGGCTGACATCCAGGTAACCCACTTGTCTCACAGACAAGCAACAGGCCCAAGACCACACAGCTAGAAAGACAGAGCTTGGGCTAAACCTAGGTCTGCCACTGCCAGCTTGATGCCTGTCCTCCCTGTGAGCAGCACCTAGAACACCTCCCAGCTGCCGCCTACTCGCCGAGGCTCACTCTGCCCAACACGGGCACAACACTTCAGGGCTTCCTGTACCAGCCTCACTTACCAGTGCAGCCAGGATATCACCTTCTCCCTTTGCCTGGAAGCCCTGAATTTTGTCTCTGTCTCTCCTTAGGGTACTCAGGTGATTCAGGATTTTTTCCTGTGGAGAAACAAGCAGTGGGAACAGGTGGATGCTCTGGGCTGGGGCAGGAGGGGAGACTCAGGCTGAGTCCTCTGAGGGCTGCAGGCGGATCGTCCACAGAAGGTGGCAAGGGACCCTTGTGGGTGAGGAGGCCTTACCCTGTGGGGCTGGGCAGCCTTCTCCATGAGGACGGCCGTGTGGGGCCTGTGCTCCCGGGACTCGCGGCACATCACACACAGCAGCTTCCCATCGTCCTCGCAGTAGTAGTGCAGCTTCTCCCGGTGTCGCTCACATAGCTTCGCATCCTGCTGCTCCCGGGTCACCTCTCCCGGCTGCCTGCCCTTATCCACCTTCAGCCGCTCGATGTTCTCCACCAGGCTGGCCAGCTGCCACACGGGTCGGATGTTCTCCTTCTTAAAAGGCTTCTTGCAGAGCGGGCAGACGGGGCGGCTCCCTGAGATGGGGCGGACGTCTGTGGTGCAGCTGCGGCAGAAGACGTGGCCACAGTCAATGGTCACAGGGTCCCGCAGGTAATCGAGACAGATAGAGCAGGTCACCTCCTCTTCCAGGCTCCGTAGTGGGGCTGACGTGGCCATGGTACCCTTAGTTCAGAGGGGTCTTCGTTCACTGGTGGGGACTTCTTCACCCTGGAGATGAGACATAAGAGTCAGGAGCAGAGGTGGCAGCCTTGTAGCTGCCAGACACAGCACTCGATCAATCTACCGACACTGCCAGCTCCTACAGGGCTCACATAATGTCAAAGGGAAGGGGCGCTTACAGAAGTAGCCCAACTCCCTCACTGTACAGATAAGGAAATGGAATCCCAGAAAGATTAACTTGGTAGAGTGAAGAGCAGGGCTGCCACTAGCCTATACCTTGTTGTTGGGAGAGCCTCAACACCCTTTCCATCTGTTGGAAAATCGCTGTAATGCACCAACTGTAATAGAACAATCTCTTACTACCTGCTGGGAAACTCATAACAATACATATATAAATCTACCATGTCTACTGTGGACACAATGCTCCCTCGCTTGTGGACAGCTGCTCACTCAATTATGCAAAGCACAAGACACATGACCAGTCACGGGGGTCCTGACAGAGTCAAGAGACCCCTTTTGTTTGTTCCTCAAGCTTTCAGGTTTCAAGAACTACGAGAGGGCAGCATGCCATGGCTCACCCTATAAACCCAATACTTTGGGTGGCTGAAGCAGGAGGATCACTTGAACCCAGGAGTTTGAAACCAGCCTTAGCAACATAGTGAGACCCTGTCTCTACTAAAAAAATGAAAATAAATTTTAAAAGCCCAGTATGGTAGAATATGTCTGTAGTCCTAGCTGGAAGGCCACAGTTGGAGGATTTCTTGAATCTGGAGGTGGAAGCTACCGTGAGCTATGATTCTGCCACTATACTCCAGCCTGGACAACAGAATGAGAGACCCCATCACAAAACAACAAAAGACATTAAAAAAAAAAAAAAACAAAACTAAGAGTACTGAGGTTCTTTACCAAAATTTAAGAAGCATCAGGAAGAGTCAGAAGTCTGAATGTCAGTGTTTCCCTTCATGAGTGTTTCCCTGGGCTGTTCTATAGTTTGGGTCTAATTTGCTTCCTCTAGAAGGCTGGACTCTAAACTCAGCCCTCCAGCAGAGCACATCTTAGCCTCAATGGGCTTGTTCTTGGCTGTGACTGCCGCATCTAGCTCGCTCCTGAGGGAAACCAGCATGGGAGGAACCCTCAGGTGGCTCTGGCGGCTATGTGCTGTGAAGCCTTGGCTTGTACAGGGAATGTGGACACACAGAAAGGACTCTGCTTCTGTTTACCTTTGTAGTCCTGTCCCAGTTCCTGTCTGAAGTTATAAGCCTCAGCACATCTAACCCAAGAGCAGCCTCCTGCCCCTGACTCTGCCTGACAATAAAGAAGTCACTTAAGTACTGAGCCTTGGCCAGGTGCCGTGGCTCAGGTCTGTAATCCCAGCACTTTGGGAGGCCGAGGCAGGCAGATTACCTGAGGTCAGGAGTTCAAGACCAGCCTGACCAAATGGAGAAACTCCATCTCTACTAAAAATACAAAAAATTAGCCAGGCGTGGTGGCACATGCCTATAATCCCAGCTACTCAAGAGGCTGAGGCAGGAGAATTGCTTGAACCCGGGAGGTGGAGGTTGCAGTAAGCCGAGATCATGCCATGGTACTCCAGATTGAGCAACAAGGGCAAAACTCCATCTCAAAAAAAAAAAAGTACTGAGCCTCAGTGTATCCATCTATAAAATAGGAGTAATACTTACCTTCAAGGTTTTCTAAGCAGGTCATGTGAAAGAACTATGGTAAAAGTACTAAGCACAAGCCTGGTACAGATGGAAATCTAGTAGAGAACTCAGAACCCCTGGTTCCCAAATCCAGTAAGTGTTCAAACCACAAAGAGTTAAATTCAAAAGTGGCAGCAAGAGAAGAAGTGAGCAGAACCAGTCACAGTGACACACATGCTACAGAGTTAAAGAACATCGTCACGGGGCAGGACCTGGAGGACTTGCTCTCCCATAGATCCATGGAAGGCAACTAGAGCAGTGCTGGAAAGACAACCAGCAGGGCACAGAGGTGACTGCGAGGCTGGAATGAAGCAACTTGAATTACAGGCAAATCAATACTAGTAATGATTATGTATGGTGAAAGTCCATTGCAACAGAGTTCAGTGGCCTCTGTCAGTAGTGACATGAATGGGATAGAAATAAAACCCCCAGTCTATATGACCCAAGAGTAAACAAAACAGTAATATAATGTGACTCATTGAGGGCCTAGTTAAGTACTATATAAAAAGTGTTTTATGATGTAAAAGGACTACATATAAGAGACTATTACAGTGCTGATAATAAATTCCAACTGGAAGCACTAATTGGATCTAGTTATGTGTGACTTTAAGAGACAAAATGAGGGGAAAATCAAGCACTTTCAAAGCACAAATGAAAGAATCAAGGAATTTAACTGTCAAGTGAAAGCAATATCAAGTTCCTAGATGTGAGTCATGCTGGTAGAAATGCTAGAAATTGCCTGGTCCAACTCCTGGGCGTGTCTGTGGGCTGTGAAGCCGTTCATCATGCCTCTTTGCCCAATGGCCTGGAAGTTTAAAAACTGAGGTTGTTTTCTTGCTCAAGGATAGCCTGTGTTATCTTTGGGGTTGGGAACTTATTTTGCAATTTACTTGCAAAATAAAAAGAATAAAAGGACTGTGAAGAGCTCAGCTACAGCTCTTCTTCCATGCAAAACAGGATACCTCATCACCCAGGCTCCATGCTGGGATTCGATAGTCTTTAAACCTCCTGAAACTGTCAAAAATTATTGTATATGTATTAGATACATAAAACTGTCCAGAGATTGCAGCAAACATCAGTAAATAAGTACAGAGGGGCAGCAAAACTAGAAAATCATTTTGCAACTGCCATTATAATAGCACAAGGATCATCAATAGATGCTAAAACTATTGGGTGAAAGGTTTCGGGGGCAAGACAGTCCCCATGGTGCCAAAGTACCAATGAATGGATTACTTCCTGACATAACTTGATTAGGAAGAGATCCTGTGATCACCTTAACTAAGTGATCAAATCCAATGTTAATCAACAGGTGATTAATTAACATTATAGTGCCATGCCAGGTGGCATGTGCTTCCTGGCATGGCACTATATGAATCACACAACATTACCCATGAAGTTTGTGCCAAAAACGTTTGACTTGAATGAAAGGCTGGTCAAGCCTTTAGATATAACTTCCAGTTTGTAGAAAATATGAAGGGTAAAAGAATACTCTGCTGCAATCCCAGCACTTTGGGAGGCCATGGATCACGGGGCCAAGACATCGAGACCATCCTGGTCAACATGGTGAAACCCCGTCTCTACTAAAAAATACAAAAAATTAGCTGGGCATGGTGGCGCGTGCCTGTAATCCCAGCTATTCAGGAGGCTGAGGCAGAATTGTCTGAACCCAGGAAGCAGAGGTTGCAGTGAGCTGAGATGGCACCATTGCACTCCAGCCTGGGTAACAAGAGCGAAACTCCGTCTCAAAAAAAAAAAAAGAGAATACTCTGAAGTATGTTACACCTGAAAAAGTACTAATGGAGGAGTTTCCACGAGGAAACAACTAGAAAAATCCAGAATGCCGGACATTTCACATGGCAACTGGCCTAATCTTCAAAAAAGTCAATGTCATAAAAAAAAGCTTTGAAAGAATTGCTGTTGATTTTTACAGACTAAAGAGAAATAATAATCAAATGCAATATGTGAACCTTGATTGGATCCCGTTTGTTTTTCGTTTTTTTTATATAGGCTATAAAAATAGTCTTGGAACTATTGTGGGAAATTTGAAAATAGACTGAGTGTTGGATCATATAAAAAAATTATTTCCTTTTTTTTTTTTGAGACAGGGTCTTAATCTTGTCCCCTACAGTCCAGTGGAACTATCTTGGTTCACTGCAACCTACACCTCCCTAGCTCGAGAAATCCTCTCATCTCAGCCTCCCGAGTTGCTGTGACAACAGGCTAATTTTTAAAAGTTTTTGTAGAGAAGAGTTCCCACTATATTGCCCAGGCTGGTCTTGAACTCCTAGGCTCAAGCCATCCTTCCAACTCAGCCTCCCAAAGTGCTGGGATTATAGGCATGAGCGACTGCACCTTGTCTAAAATTATTTTCTTAATAGCATTTATTGAGGTTACATAAATAAATGTATAAACTTATTTATTTATTCGTTTATTTATTTGTTTGTTTTTGAGATGGAGTTTTCCTCTTGTTGCCCAGGCTGGAGTGCAGTGGCACAAACTAGGCTCACTGCAACTTCCACCTCCCAGGTTCAAGCAATTCTCCTCCCTCAGTCTCCCTAGTAGCTGGGATTACAGGAACCGCCAACACATCTGGATAATTTTTTGTATTTTTAGTAGAGACGGGTTTCACCAGGTTGGCCAGGCTGGTCTCACTGATCTCAGGTGATCCACCTGCCTTGGCCTCCCAAAGTGCTGGGATTACAGGCGTGAGATACCATGCCCAGCCAAGAATACCTGTATTTCTAGGTAATGGATGCTATAGTGTTTACAGCTTGTCTCCCACCTACTTTGAAATGATTCAGCAAAGCAAAATAAAAAGCTAGAAAAGTTTTCTGGGGAGGGAGCTATAGTTTTCTATCACATTCTTTTTTTTTTTTTTTTTTTTTGAGACGGATTCTTGCTCTGTCGCGCCCAGGCTAGAGTGCAGTGGCGTGATCTCGGCTCACTGCAATCTCCACCTCTTGGGTTCAAGCGATTCTCCTGCCTCAGCCTCCCAAGTAGCTGGGACTACAGGCACTTGCTACTAAGACCGGCTACTTTTTTGTATTTTTAGTAGAAACAGGGTTTCACCGTGTTAGCGGGGATGGTCTCAATCTCCTGACTTTGTGATCCACCCACCTCAGCCTCCCAAAGTGTTGGGATTACAGGCATGGGCCGCTGCTCCTGGCCTTCTATCACATTCTTAAAAGGGTCTGTAGTAACCATCAAAAATGGTTAAATCACTGATACAGATATCATGGTGCTTGACACCTTGTAGAAGCTCAATACATGTCTGTTAAAAAGTGAATGGATTCAGGGGAACTGCAGACAAGGTTAATCGAATAGAACCATTTGTTTTTGAGGGTC